TTCCTCAAATGTTGTTTCTGCAGTTTCATCCGTACATGTCACTAATTCTTCCAATCCTGACCATGATTGAGAGATAGAGTTTTGTCTATCGGTGGAAATATCTGTGGAAGCTCCATGATATGTACAAGGAAAGTAATACAATTGTAAGATGTGCAGTCTGAGGGACAGATGGGTATATGGTAAGGCTGAGATATCACAAAACACCTGCGACCACATGCGAAACAACAACATAAAAGGTGTAAAAGTCTTATATAGTATCTCCTAAAATATATAATTAACACAAAATCAGACTGCAGTTAAACTGTTTTTCTAACCTGGGGATTAAACCTGACAACTCGACCAAACTCATTATTGCTATCTTGAAGCGTGCACGCACACACGCACCTGCGTGTGTGTGTGTGTGTGTGTAAGAGCTGATCCTTTGAGAGTAGAGGCTCACACAACTTAGACATTTAACTCCATCCCTGCACACAGCGTCCTATTACTACAGCAAATAAACTGTAGCTGCAGCCTGACAGTGGACTGTGGGTGGTTTGACAGTCTTCTGTAGCCAAGTTTTTCCACAATATACTTTCGTGTCTGAGCAGGAAACTTTTATTTATAGAGATTTTAACTTTATCAACACAAGAATAAGAGGGAAATAAATGCCACAGATATTACTATTACAGCAAAGCAATGGGATTCACGAAAATGATAACTTTATGAAATTACTGCAGAAAATCCAATAAAGAGTTTTCACTGGGTGACTTCATCTTGGAATAAAAGTGTTACTCTAAGTTCTGTTTTTTAGCTGCAAAATATGCAAGATTTATGTGAATCTATTGGCATCGATGGATTTAAAGGATGTTTCCGTTAGCCTCAAAGTATGAAATTGACGTTTTGTTTACTGTATACCAGCTAAAAAATTGCACTTTTAAATTTGCCTCTGTATTCAGTCTTTTCTTTTCGGCCCCATGTTAAAATATCTGTGTATGTATCAAAGACAACAGAGATGAGTAAATGCAAAACTGAAAAAACACTCCACAAATAACCAGAACCAACCAATATGAAATTAAGAATTTTATCCAATATTTTTATATGTGTTGCTTCTATCTGCAAAAAAAAAGAAAAGAAGACAGAAAAACAAAACAAAAATTTGATTCAAATATAAAAGGTGCAATAGACGATGACTGGATGATTCAAGCGAAACAATGGAACAATAGCAGCAAAGGGAAGCGAGACATTGTGACCCATTCATTAGTGAAGCTAACCCCTACAGGCACAGAGAGGAAGTTCATTAAATACAAACCCAAGGCTCTGTCAAAGATCATGCTCTGCCGCTGACACTGAGGATATTACACTCACAAATATTGTTCACAGTAAAGGTCCTCCGTCTGGAGCGTCAGGTTTCCGGGGCCGTCATGTAAAACAATTGAAAACAGACTTTTATTGTGAATTTTTCGAATGCCGACAATGTCCAGAATGCTCAAAGGATGTTTTCTTTTCTAAATCTTTTTCTTAAATGTTAGCAGTTTTATCAGGGTTTTAATGTGTGTAAGAAGGAGAGAGTGTGTAGTTACAGTATCTCTCTGTGAACACTACGGCTCTGCATATCTCTGCATACTTTGATAGGGATCACACCACATTTAAATACAGTAACAAATAGGGAGGTCTGAAAATATCGACCGACCAATATTATTGGCCCGATATTAGCTTAATCGTGTAATATCTGTAGGAATCGTTATTGATATGAATGAAAACCTGATAGCGCAATACCTGGGTTTCACCAAATAATGTGTGCTCTAAAATAATTTTGGGGGAAAAAACAGCTGTATATGAAAGTGAAAGTCATGTCATTGAGGTATGTTTTTATTTAACATTTTATTAATCTATTTGAATAATCAGGGGGTTGTATGCAGAATGCTGCTAAATAAATAAATATGACAAGGCCCTTTATAATATTTCAATTTGCGGGGGGGATTCTGTCCCCTAGAGGGGGCCATGGCAGAAAATAATTGAGAAACACTGCTTTACCTTAGTGAGAAGGCGACCCGCTATATAGGTATCGGTTGATATTGGAATCAGAAATTAAGTTGTTAGACAATATTGGCATATTGGATATCAGGCAAAAAGCTAATATCGAACATCCCTAGTAATACAGATATGATTTCTACATCATTTTGATATCACTCTTTTGACACATTCCTTTGGAGCTATTTATATCCCAGTTGTGTAAGAAAGTAAGGACTGAATGTGTTTCATGAAAAATAGAGAAATTCAGATGTATACTATCATGTGAAAAACATTTTACTAAAAGCTGACAGTCAGGTGTGTATTTGGTTGGGTCTGGGTCAAAACCAAAATCTTTTGCTCTATTTCTTCCTTCAACTCTCTGCCCAACGTCAGTTTCAACAATCAGCATTTAGAAATAATGTTGTTCTTTTTATATCACAATACTGACACCTTCTCCCCTGTTTCCCATCATTAGCAGTCAGAACAGGTCACCTGACTAACTTCTGTATTTTCTTCTTCTCTCTTCTCACTCTGCTCCTGCTGCTTTTTATCTCTCACTGAGCTGACAGTTCAAAACACCACAAACACAAACTCTAACAGGGGTCACTGCTGTGGACATGCGCTGCGTTTTAATTGGTCTTTCAAAGCAAATGTTCGACTGCAGGAGTTGTTCCAGGTTCAACGTTAAACTCCAAATGTTTTTTTTTTCTTACTGTACAACTGTAGCCTTCTAATGGCAATGTTTCCCTGTGTTACCCAGCTGCCACTGCTGCAAAATAACTTAACCCACTGAAGCTGCCAACGAAAAATACAAATCTTGTTTTTTCCAATCTTTGATAAACATTCAGCAAACACCTGACCAGTCTTTGTCTTTTTCTCAATACTCTGTTGACTACTTTCCGATACCTTCAATGGCTAGACCCAGTGACATGTGGTCAGTTGAATGATAAGTAAAATATTACCAATGATAAGAGCAGAGGTGGAAACATTACTAAACTACTACTAAAGTTACTTTGTTACTTTAAATTACCAAATTTTCTGGACTAAAAGTCGCACTTTTTTCATCCTTTGGCTGGGTTTGTGACTTATACTCAGCTGCGAGTAATATATTAAAACATATAATTTTACATTTGTTTTACATTTTTTACATCCTGTCATACAACACTGACCGCTGCTAGAGGGCGCTCTAGGCTAGTGTACAAGTATGTGCTACTCCTGGTCCACTGAAGACTTGCATGTTCGTTATTTTCTCACTAGCTGCTAGAGGGCACTGGTGCGACTTATACTTCGTATACTGTATAGCAACTGTATAGCAAACATAAAAAAATCGTATCAGTTGTCGTTTTGCATGTAGTGCAAATTCTCAAGGGCCTGCAAAGTTTGTTCAGAAATGACAAGATGGACCTTTACAGCTAAACGTTTATTTGGTCATTGATTATTTATTTGACCTGAAGTCTATAATTATCACACGATCTGTAGTTACTGTTATGACGATCTGTTAGGATCAATTACAGCATAAAAAAAAAAACACTTACAACACAACTTATTAAACATCGGATCCATATTCTGCAAACACCAATTAGACATAATAAATGCTAAATACCAAAAATGACAGAGACTCTGCTGGTTTGTTGTCAACGCAGGAACAGCACAAAATGGCTGATTCCAAGGACACATCAGTAAATTGAAGGAGCTTCACACTTTGATCTTTTAAAAAGCAGCAGTTGGCAGAAGAGCTTATAAAAACATTCACCTTGTTTTGTTCCACCCTGATAAGTTTGGGTGAAGACTGCCTCAGTGCTGCGTATGGGTGTGTGCAGTAAGAAGATAAGGAAATGCAAATACAACAGGCGGCATTTGAGACCAAAGAAAAGTGTCTGAAAGGCAATTTACAGGAAGGCAATCAGTGACTGTCATCAAACTCTGTCTGCAAATGTTTTCTTCCAAGAATCCCTGTTTTTCCTGACTGGTGACTTCAGGAGAAGTTCGACAGTAATGCCTAAGATGTATGTAAAAGCAATGAGAAAAATCTTAGATTTAAAACTTGCGTACCATTTGGGTGTACTGTTTGGAAATGAACTCGAACCAAGGAATATCAAAAAGATTTCCTAACATGCCCAAGCAGAGGTCATCAAAATGGCTCCCAGGGGCACCTGGGAGTATGTTCTAAAAACAAAGCTAGTCAACAAGGAGGGTCAAACGTTGTACTGTTACTGTGCTTTTTGAATCAGTTACAGTAACAATGATATTTAAATGGATGCAATGACGATGGTAAGAACAGTGTCTACTATTGCATAAAGCAGAGGTCATCAAAATGGCGCCCGGGGGCACTTGGGAGTATTTTTTTTGAATCAGTTACAGTTGCAATGATATTTAAATGGATGCAATGACGATGGTAAGAACAGTGTCTACTATTGCATTGTTTCCCTAAGACTGGGTCGCGACCCTGAAGTAGGTCGCAAGAGATTTTATTTTTGGGTCCTCTCGGATCATGTTTCCCAGGTCATCACAACAGCTGTCTGCATCCAACTCTACTGTTGCATTGTTTCCCAAAGACTGGGTCGTAACCCTGAGGTGGGTCGCAAGAGGGGTTTTCCTTGGGTCGTCTTGCATGTTTCCCAGGATTTCATGGTCATCGCAACACTAGACAAAAGTGCAAAAAACATACGAACATACCGCATATATAACATTGCATTCAGTGAGGATTTTGGATTTTGATTTGTATATATTACTAAACACAAGGTAGGTCAGGGAATTGTCGGTCCCCGGAAAAAAGTTTGGGACACTGTACCGTTGTACAGTCCCAGAATGAATTATTATTACATTGTTCAGGAAGTCTGTATCAAAGTAGTTGTTCGTATTCAAGTGCCCTTGAAGTAGCTTGCAGTTTCACATAAAAAGACAACACTTGAAGTCTGTGGTTAGAGTTTATAAATAACAACAGAAAGTCAAAGGAACAGTGTTTTCTACCTCAGTTTTCTCATCTCAGCATCTCTGTGTGTTTCCAGGTTCTTGGGGCAGGTGTATGGGCAGCGAGTGTGGCCCAGGTGGCAGCCAAAGCCGGGCTGTCTGGTGTGCCCATGTGGATGGCTGGACGACGCTTCACACCAACTGTGACCAGAGCCAACGACCGTCCAATCAGAGGAACTGTTTCCATGTGTGTGACTGGCACAAAGACCTTTATGGATGGGAACTCGGTTCCTGGAACCTGTGTGTTCCAGTGTCAACGAGGACCTTCGTGGCCTCACGCCTGTTTATGTGCAGTGGGGGTGAAGAGGGTATTCAGACCCGGGACGTGGGCTGCACACTGAAGTCAGATGGATCTCCGGCTGAGGATTCTATCTGTGAGTATTTCGAACCCAGACCTCGTCAGGAGCAGGCGTGTTTGATCCCCTGCCCTCAGGACTGCGTGGTGTCAGAATATTCACCCTGGACGTCCTGCTCCAAGACATGTGGGACAGGACTCAGGAACAGAGTCCGCAGTGTTCTGGTTCCTCCACTTTTCGGAGGCACCATTTGCCCCAATCTGACGGAGTTTCAGTCCTGCAGACCAGGACCCTGCACCGGTCCAGAGGGCATGTACAGTCTCAGGGTCGGACCGTGGAATCCCTGTGTTCTTCCGCAGACTCGGACAACGCGACAAGCCAAACGCAGGAAGGGCAAAGGACAGGGTCTGAGAGACAGAGGTGGAGTCAAAGATCCAGAGACCAGGGAACTGATCCAAAAGAAACGCACCAGGAACCGCCTTAACCGTCAGGAGAGTCCATTCTGGGACATCCAGGTGGGATACCAAACCCGCGACGTGATCTGCACACACAGGAATGGGAGCGGGGTGACACGAAGGTGAGTGGTGATATTTTTTATGTTAATGTGACATTTTAGTAAATACTGTGTATTCTTTTTTTTACAAAGCCATACACGGACACAAACCATGGTTGAATTTATTCCTACCCGAAGGAGAAATTGTTAATAATTAGCTTATTTGCAGTACCAAATGTACTAAAAGCCCCAAAATGAAGAAGGATGATTTAAGGAAACCAAAACCATCAGCCTTCACAAAGACAAAGCCCAGAATTGGCTTAAGGTTAGCTTAAAAGCTAAAATAAAAAACAAATAGTAAACGAAAGCTCTTTGCTCTCTAAACGAGAGATTCTCAGTTTGCTCAGTTACTTTGCTCTTAAACTGATCACATGCTACCTGCTTTGGTCTTGGACTGTAAAAAAAAAAATCAACATTTCCTGGTATAGATACACTCTCCCCTTATCTTCTAAACCAGGGTGTCAAACTCATTTGTACACTCTCCCCTTCTAAACCAGGGTGTCAAACTCATTTTGGTTCAGGAGCCCCTTGCTGCCTAATCAGATGTGAAGTGGGCCGGACCAGTAGAATCATAACATAATTAACTATAAGTAACAATAAGTGCATGTTTTTCCAAAATTTGTTTCCATGGAAATGAGTACAAATTTATTAGAAAATATTCATATTGAATGAAGAGTTTGTGCGTTCTTTCAAGTGGGCCAGATTTAACCCCCTGGTAGTTTGTGCGTTCTTTCAAGCGGGCCAGATTTAACCCCCTAGTGGGCTGGTTTGGACCCACGGGCCATATGTTTGAC